ACCATGACAACTCTTATAAAGAAAACATTTAATTGAGGGTAGCTTGCTTACAGTTTCGGAGATTCAGTCCGGTATGATCATGATGGGAGCATGGAGCGTGCAGGCAGAGGTGGTGCTGGAGCTGAGAGGGCTCCATCTTTCAGGCAACAGGAAGTTGACTGACTGAGGGAAGCTTGAGAAAAAGAGACCTTACAGCCCACCCCCACAGTGACACACTTCCTCTAACAAGGGCCACATCTCCTAATAATGCCACTCCCTTTGAGGGGCATTTCCTTTCAAACCAGCACACATACTTTTAAAATATTTTGTATTGTTTTCCCCTTTACATTGCTTTGACAAGAAATTTTCTCTGATCCTTATTTGTTATTTTTTTTTCTTGTGGAAGGGTTAGCAGTTTGATTATTTTGTGCTTAGACAGGATCCTCCTTAGAATTATTTTGGTCTTTGAGTCTATTATGCCATATGCGTCATCAAATTTGGAATATTTCAAGCTGGCAATTCCTAAACCAATATTTCTTGAAGGAATTTATTCTTGTTTTTAATCTCATAGAGACTGTGTGTGTGTGTGTGTGTGTGTCTGTGTGTGTCCTTGTGTATACATTCATGTATGTGGGGTTGCATTTGTGTGTAGTATGTGTATGTATTCATGCAGGTGTTGATGCATTTGTGCATGTGAGTATAGTCTAGAGGTCAACCTCAGGTTTCATTCCTTAGGCTCTGTCTACCTTGATTTTTCAGACAGTGTTTTTTTTTTATAGGCTTTGAGCTCGCCTGAGTAGGTTAGTCAGGCTGGCTGGCCAGCAACACCCAGGGATTAACCTCATATTTTCATAGATTCTTGGAATTGAACTCAGGTCCTCAATCTTACATAGCAAGAACTTAACTGGCCAAGCATCTCTGCAACTACTCTCTAGGGACTCTGGACAGTAAGAGCATCATCAGCTACTGGGAATCAATTTAGTTCATTGACATTGTTAGTTTCCTTGTTCTGTCTTTGCTGTCTTTGACTACGCCAGTCTCTGTAACATCTAGCCAGCTCTTAATCCTATCAAGTATGCTTTTCTAGTTTACACCGTGTTTTATAGGTCAATTTCAGGCTTTTAAAATCTTTTGTGTACTTACTTAGTAAGTTCAACTTTTCCTCTAGCTTGTGTACTATAGGAAAGGTTGTGGCCACTGGTAACAGTCATTTCTGGGTTTCCTGCTCAGTTCTCCACTGACTCCACTCCAAGCATCTTTCTGTTCACTAAGCCGTCCTCATGCTGAATGCTGATTCCTTTCTCCTTGGGGAGGGTGTTGGCCTTGTTTGCTCCTGGAAGGCCTTTTGAGGGAGGAAGCAGCAGCACTCACGGGCTCACTTTGCTTGTTCCTCATCTTTCAGCAGTCACTGTCCTTCATGACTTGATATCTAGAGTTTTGAAAACCATTGTGAATATCACATCCAGGTTTTAAGTTGTTATGGTAGGTGAGAAAATCTTGTCTCTTTTATTCCCTTTTGGCTAGCACCTGAAGCCTGCAGTCATATTTCTAATTGATGTAGTTTAACAAAAACATTCTTTCATAGTAAGACTGACCATTCTGACTTTTGCAGGAGTGCTCTGGTATATGCAACCCACAAACAAACAAATGTTTTTAAAAATGGAAGCTGGCAAGATAGCTCAATGGGTAGAGGCACTTGCTCTGAAATCTGACAACCTGAGTTCAATCCCTGGAACCCATACATGGTGGAAGGAGAGAACCAACTATCACAAGTTGTCTTCTGACTCCCACACATGTGCAGTGGCACATACATGCTCACAAACTTACATATACATAAGATAAATACATGTTTAAAGATTTTAATGAAATAAAAATTTCAAGTTAGTCTTTGATTTTTAATTTTCATCTTCCATTCTACCCCCAGAACAGAAACTTAGTTTTGTAGTAACTCTTTTTTCTTTTTAAATAAAAATGTGCCTGCTTATACCAATCCTGAAAGCATGGATGTTTAGAGTGACTGTAGATTTTATTGCTTGGCTGCTTCTAGGTCATTCTTATTTTAGACACTATCTTAGCCAAATTATTTCAGAAGTGTAAGTAGGGGAGGGAATCTGGAAACATAGTGAAGGTGGTGTTGAAACTAATCATTTGAGTTTAGAGATTAATTTTAATACAAATTAATAAATTTGATAAAAACACATGTTGTTTTGGCACCTTTACATTAAAACCATGAGCATTTGGGCTAGATACTTGTGTCCTAGGCCAGATTGTGTAATTTACTGATAACATCACTTTCAGGCCCTTTGTGCCCCACACCTTACAAATGCTCTGAATGGCCTTGTGCAGTTTCGCCAACATGAACATGCTTGCTCAGAGTAGAAGTTGACTCAGGTGGGCAAAAGAACATGTGTTCTATTGACTTACAATGTGGGTGGGGCAACCTGCGCCTTCTCAAAGTCATTGTATTTTGTGCACCAGTTCTTTTAAAAACGTGAGTAGGAAAAAAGTTGTTTTTGAAAGAATTACTCATGAATTGAGTCCTTGTGTGGGGGAGGCAATGCATTGCTTGTCATGAAGTGTTGTACGCAGGTCTCATGACCCTGTGCCTTATTGCTGTCTAATGAAACTTCTTTCATGTGCTTGGGTGCGTACGTGTGTGTGTGTGTGTGTGTGTGTGTGTGTGTGTGTGTGTGTGTGTGTGTGTTGCTTGTCTTTTAACAGTGATAGGATAGGTGAAGACCTTCAGATATTTGCCCAAAGGTATCTGATAGTTTGATATTATTATATTTTAAAACGTGATGTCTTAATGCCATGTTACCTTTGTCCAGAAACACAAGTTTGGAAGTATTATACATTTATATAATAAACTTTATCTCTGCATTGTTACTTTTTCTTAAGTGTTGGTACTTTCAATTTGAAAAAGACATTTTTATTATTTGTTGCTGGGACAAAAGCCGCCTAGCCAGAATTCAGAGAAATGATAGTTTTTTTGCTTCTAGGTAGAGTTATTATGCCACCCAGAACAATTTTTGGTTGGTCAACAAGGTTTTTTCTAAAGTGTATCTGGAACAATAGTGTCCTCAGACCCAAGCCTGTGAACTAGCATTTTTGTTCCTCTTAGGTGTCTGTGTATATCTGCTTGAAACACCTGAAAACAAAGCTTTTGAGCAAGAGATTGTCCTTTGACTAGACATCCTGTTAGGCCCAGAACCTTACTTTCCATGTGCCAGGTGGGGTCCATTTCTAGGGCCTGCGATCACTCTTCTCACTCTTCTAGGACTTTTGTGCTTGATGTGACTGATCTGACTTCTCAGCTTAACTCTACAGAGTTGTAGACAGCAGGGGTCCAAAGTGGTATCTGCATACACATGCAGGTTCACCGATAAGAAAATACTAGCCATTGTATTTGTATCACTGTTATGACTGTTAAGGCGATTTGTCCATATGTCAGTAGTGCATATAGCAATGGTTAATCAAGTGCACACATTAAACATATGATACCTGTGTTAAATCCACACCAATTTCTCCTTTTGCTCTTAGCCATCGTAGTAGACATCATCCAGGGCGTACTCAGCTTCTCCTTTGGGAGCCTTACAGATGTAGAACTTTGAGAGTGCTTTTCTTATGAGGTGACTATAGCTTTTACTGGACACTAAAGGAGATCTTTCAGTTGCCAGTCTTGGGTCTTGCTGAAGCCTTAAGGCTTGTGTTGTTACGACCATAACTGTTTACATATCTTGGTTTGAAAAGTAAGGTATTTAATTAGGCATTGATTCCTTAAAACAAAGTCCTTTCTTTTAGGCTTATCACTGAGAGACTGAAGCCAAAGTTGTCATCATCTTAAAGTAATGCAGGATAGGCACTGAATGCTTTTCTGGTATCTGGTTTTTAAACTTCTTTTTGTAAGGTATTATCTAATGTCTTCATTAATCTTCATCTATTTTTAAAACACTTTGGCAGTGTCTTTCAAACGTACATACATTGGTTCCAGGTGGAAGTGACTATGGAGCTATTTTTGAAATGCCCTGTTCTAACTGTACTGTTTGCACAGGGAGATTTTCTGCTGTCCATAAGCTTCTCTGTGAGGTTTGCAGTAGTGTTTGATGGAAGTGTGTTGGATCAGGGCTGAAAGCCAAACTCAAGTCAGTTGATGATGTGAAATTGAGTCAAAGGTATTTTTGAAATCACCCATAAAACCCTTAAATGACCTGTAGCATATGCACTACATAATTGTGTTTGTACAGTTCTACAGGAAGTATCTATTGCTTCTTGTAACTCTTTGTTATAGGTCCATATAGCCCCATGTAGTCCTCAGTGTCTTCCTCAAGACTGTCATGGCCTTTTTTCTCATTACACTTACCCATCTGACTGGTAGAATGTATTTACCTATCCATGGCCAGAAAATCTTACTACTCATGCCCTCTTCCTGATAAGTTTTGGACCTGGTATACATACTCATTTAAATATTCTTTCAGTTAAAAACAATTTAAATGTGTATGTGGGTGAATTTACTAACTTAAGTCCAGTCCATGTGTGATGTAGTCCTCATACATTCCTAGATTTCTTCTCTTACTTTATAAATCAGTAGCAGTAAATTCTGCCAATTGTGTATCGTAAGGAAATGATCCTATTTATTCACTATGTGATGAGTATTAAGAATGTGTAAGGTGTTGGAACTGGGGTTGCAGGAGTGTTATAGACATCATTCCTATGTAACTAGTGGGAAGAACAGGCTCAAGTGAATGGCACCTGAGCTTTCTCGTTAATGCAGGCACACAAAGGTGATAGGCACTCATGCCACTTTCCTGTGTATCACATGCAATAACTGGACAGACATGAAGGTTGAGGATGGCTTGGGTTGCCCTGCTAGGAAACAGTCATATGATTCATGGCAGAGCCTTCCCAGAACATCCCATAAACATCTGAGAAAGTCTGTGGACTCTGACCTGATTTCAACTGTATTTTGCTATAGATATGAATGCACCTCACTTTATTAAGGACTCTTTATTTATTTTTAACAGGGATTACTAGATTTGATCTACTTGGAGACTTTGGAAGATTTAATTGGCTGGGAAATTTCTATATCGTATTATCCTACAATTTACTCTTTGCCATTGTGACAACATTGTGTTTGGTCAGAAAATTCACGTCAGCTGTACGAGAAGAACTCTTCAAGGCCCTGGGTAATCTTGAGGTTTATGAACATTTATTTCTACTAATCATGACTTTGTATTTGCGTTTCTATGTAGTTTCTAAGTATGCATGGCTGTCAGTTTACATCTTGACTCATGTTTTGGTTGTGATTAGTTTGGAATCATGTCATTGTACTGTAAGGCCTCATCTGTAAGGTGTGTGGGTAGGAACTGTGGTGGTTCTTGTGGGGGCCTTAGTACAGTGCCTAGGACATCCTAAGAACTTGGGAATCACAATCATCCCCTTTGTTCTTATCACGATAATGGTGAGAAAGACTTAATACTGAAGGTTTGCTTTCTGGTAATGATGGCCTTTATTGCTGTTTTCTTGAAGCCTTTTTTTTTTTGAGGGGGCTTGGATTTTTTTAGGTGTACAAGCAATCTATAATTCTCTTCACTAAGCCGGGTAACTCTGGAGGTTTGCTGTCATGTGCTGTGTCCTATATATTGTGGTGGCATCAAGGTCTGCTCTAAGTGATGTAGGTTTGCTGTGTTTACTTCTACACTCATGCTGAATATAGTCCAGGGTTTATGCTTTAGGATGAAAAGCACTCTGGAAGCTTCCCAGGCATCTACCTCCATAGCAGAATGAAAGGTGGTGGTTTCTTGTAGGAAATATAGGAAAAACACTGGCGTTAACTCATTTGCCTGAGACCACTTGAATGCTTATGTTCCATATAGGCTGTGGTTTTTGATATTTTAAGAGGCAGCATATTTGTAGATTCATTTAAGGCCCATTTTCAGAAAACCTAAACTATAGGAGCATCAATAAGGCTTTTCATAGCACCAACCTTTATGACCTTGGTGTTTGAAAGGTTGACCTTTAAAGAAAAAAAAAACCCACCAGGTTACTGCTCCATGTATATTTTATTTGGAACATACATTGTGAAGGATCAACTGATAAAAATATTTCCCTGAAATGAAAAAGCTACATCTCAGCTGAAACACCAGATAATTTATGAATTTTAGTGCCTGGGTTTCACAGTACTGGCCACATTAAAAACAGTGAGATGCCTAGGATTAAGAAACCCTTAGTCACATGTCTGGTTGAAACTTCATTTTTAGCTAGGACCTCAGATCAATTCCCACTTGGCTCCAGCTGAGATGGCTGCAGTGCATCAGTGTTGGTGTCCTACTGTGGAGCCTCTGCTGAGTTAGTCAACCTGCCAGAGGCCAGCGGCCCTTGTCATAACAGCAATCTGACCATAAGACACTGGAGTTTTCAAGGGTTGTGTAACACTCCCAAGACACTTGTTTTCCTTTCCAAATGTTTTCTGTTATCCTTTTGTATATTCTTTGGGGGCAATTCTTCATATAAAAAATCCTCTTTAAATATAGATTCAAATGGCCCACGATGACTTTTAACCCATTGCTAACAGGTATTTTCAGAGAACATCTGCTGCACAGTATCCGTGGTGGTGGTGGTGACCAAAGGACTGTTTCTGGGGAGGTCTACAGATGACAATATTGCAGTTTTATCAGAATGCATGTCCTGTGTCAAGTACAACTTGGCCAGGCAGTGCTACATACTTTTTTATCCCAGCACTCAGAAGGCAAAGGAAGGCAGAACTCTTTGAGTCCTAGGCCAATCAGGGCTATGCAGAGAAACCCTATCTTGAAAAAACAAAAAATAAAAAAAAGTTAACCTTCTTATGTCTTCTGTCTTAAAAGAGTAGTTCCAGGGTCAGGAATATGTCTCAGTTGTAGAATGCTTGCCAACCAAGTATAAGATCCTGTGTTTGAAATTCACATATTCCTCACATAGAAACAGTATGATTTCAGGTCAGTGTGGCAAGTATGCCCCTCAATGCCCCATCCCTCCCCCTTTCCCTTTTTCTAACAAGTTTTCTTCAGTGCATGTCTTGTCTTAATTTTCAGAGGTTCTCTGATCACTCAGTGGTTTGGCCATTTCTGGGATTATACTATTTTATACTGATTTCTTTTTTCTTCTAATTCAGTTATAGGCTCAAGCTTAAATTTCCTTTCATTAAGTTATACAAGTAATAAAGACTTTAAATTAGGGGGTACTTTATTGCCTTAGAAGTTATACAAAACTTCCTAATGAGAAAATTACTATCTGGAAATTTAGAATGAATGGCCACCCCACCCCCAACTTAGTTTTTGAGGCATTTAAAAATCTGAGTAGTGTGGGTGCTATTCCAGTCTCTCCTGTGGATGCATTGCTTGTGAACTCTCACGTCATAGTTTTCACTTTCGCTGAAGTACTTGAAGCTTTAGTATGATCTAAACTCTGACTTTTCTGTGTGGGTGCACTATGATCCATGTGTCAGGTGTATTCTGTGAGAAACTGCTATGTGAGAAAATGGAAATTAATGCCCTTGAAAACGTAGTGATGGTTGTTTTATCCTGTAAAGTATCTTGGAGTGTTTGTGTATTTATTCCTTTGTAATTTTTTTGTCACACTATTGATGTTTTTGCATTTCTTTACAACAATTATGTGCTTAATATTTTGGGATATTCGTCATGCACTTTGCATATATGTGTTTTAAAACAAAAAAGTCATGTATCTGTATCAGGTTAGCTTCTAGGCAAGAGGCTTCTGAAAGGCGGAAGAAGAAGCAGTGCAGAATGACGTGTGCTTTGAAACCTGTGGTCTGTGGGGTATTATGCTTTGGAGGCCCCAGCAGAGCCACACTGAGCGGTTGGGGAGATGACCCAGTCAGTAACCTATTTGTTACACAAGCATGAGGGCCCCTGTAAAAAAGTTATACATAATCCCAACCCTGGGGAGGTGGCGATAGGTGGCTCTTTGGGCTTGGTAGCTAGCCAGCCTCACCTGCTTGGGGAGTTCCAGGTTTAGTGGGAGACCCTGCTTCATAAAACAAGGTGGGTGGCACTTGAGATGATATCCAAGATTGTTCTCTGACTTCTATCTGTAGGCACATACACTTGAACACATACACTCAAAAAAAAAAAAAAAAAAACGGTAGGACCCCACTGTGTTGAGAAGAGCCATATCCACCTGTCACCCAGTGATTGGAGGTAGCAGTCCTGGAAAAAGAGGCATGACTTCCACAGAGCTGCCTCCAGGGAGGAGAAAGCTTTCATTTCCAGAAGACTTTAGATAACACATCACAGTCTCCACAAGATAGCTATCCTGCTGCTGAACAGGTCTTGTCTGGTCACCTGGTCCCTTAACTGACCCGTTCTCATCCTTATCCTATTTTTCCTGCAGGACTTCACAAACTTCACTTGTCACATACCTCAAGGGATTCAGAAACTGCGAAGCCTTCTGTGAATGGGCATCAGAAAGCACTGTGAGACCTGACTGCCTCAGTAGCATTCTGCAGCCAAGCCTTGACAACTCCTGATCCCCGACATTCCCACAGATACTGATCAGCTAGCTCCTGGTGGGGTCTGAGTCCACCTGTCAGTGCTGCCTTCTCATCAGCACTGAGAACTTGGTATTGCTGATAAGTCTCACATTTGAGTTTTCTCATTGACCTTAGAGCTTTTGGTTAAACCCTGAGTCTGAGACTGAGGAACAGTTGGACGTCTACAGCAGGGAGTCATCTGGATGAGAGGAGGAGATGTGCCATGAGGCAGACTTGGACTTTCTGAGGCTTTGCTTTATGCCATAAGAAGTTTGAGTCTGCAGGTAGAAGCCTGCTTCAAAGTTGCCTGGTACTCCAAAATATCTTCAGAAAGTCTTGGAAACTTCTGTACTAGTAGCAAACTAAAATTTTTATTTCCTTAAAAAACCAAAAGCAAGAGTTTCTGATTCATATTACAGAATCGTCATTAGACTTCGAGCCAATGGAAAAATACTAGATTCTTTTCAAACCTGAGCCTTGGTGGGCAGCCCCAGGACTATCTTTGTGGTAAGCTGCAGTAGGAAGAAAATATAATTGTAGATTTGGACTTTTGTGTGTATACACCTGATAATTCTTCTCACAGCACAGTGCCAGTGTTGTTCACACTTGTAACTTAGACTTTGCCTTATAGGCCATATGTACATTCACTTTTTAAAACCTTTTTTAAGAACTGCTTTACTTCCTGTGCTTGTTGTGCCTGTGAAACCCATAGACGGAAATTGCTTCTTCTTCTTCTTTTTCTTCTTCTTCTTCTTGTCTCTCAGGCCTTGGTGACCTTCATATACTCCACCTCAGGAAAGTCACCAGAACTTAAAGGTCATGGAAGTTCAGGTGCAGTGTAATACGAGCTCATAATTACTCAGTTGTAAGTAATTGTTGAGATGGTTTCTCAACTCCTGAGTCTACTGATTAAAAACGCGAGTGCACGCTGTTGCTGTCCCTAGGTAGCACACAGTTCACAGAAATATAGTGATGCTCTCATGCACTGTGTGGGTGACAAAACAGGTTTGTGTTCAGAAAGAAGTAAAACCTTTTTTCCTCAAATTGTTGAAAATAGTTTCTTTTGGAGAAATTTATGAAAAACAGGCTGTATATGACATAATTTCTTTTTACTTAGAAAAAGAAGAAAATTTAGCTGTACTTTTACAAGCCATTGAGTGCACTTTTTTACTTACATCATAGCATTTCCTGATTCCTAAGGTTTAAGGAGAAGGACCATTGGTGCTGTGGCTCTGAGTGACTCAGTGCATGCCTTCAGTGAGTACTGGTAGATTCCTGAGTGTGAGCTCCTGCACTAGCACAATGCAAATCAGCTGCTTTCCAATTTCCCCGATCATTATGCCTATGTTAGTTAATGCCAGGCTCTGCTTTTTATTGAAACTTGAAATTCATCCTTTGGGCAGACCAAGTGAAGGAGAGATCAGAGAGCAGTTTTCCACTGCACTCACTTTCAGTGCACAGCATTTGCTGATACATCCAAACACAGAGCTCCTGGCTAATCTGTAAGGTAAGGTGTCTGAATATTTCATAAATTATTAAACTTTTCAATATGTCTCAAGTTAAATTTTCTTAATGTTCGTGTGTGTCTGTGTATGCATGCGTGTGTGTGTGTGTGTGTGTGTGTGTGTGTGTGTGTGTGTGTGTGTGTGTGTGTCCCCGTCCATTCATGAGTGAAGATCTGAGGACAACTTAGGAGTCAGTTCTTTTCTTTCACCGTGTGTGTGCCTGTGATTGAATTCAGGTGTCTTTACCTGATGAGCTGTCTCACTGGCCCTGCATTGATCAGGCTATAGGGTGGGTCAATTTGTCTTATATTTCTTACTGTGAACGCACATCAGACTGTGAAGGAGCATGGGGAAAGGAAGTAAGTAGGTGTTCCTTCTAGACACATGGGTAGCTCTGAACACTATCAAACAGGAAATGTATACCTGTAGTTCATGGCTTTGGAACACAGCCAAGAAAACTAAAGGTGCTTGAGTTGCCGATTCTTGAGTAAAGAAGTAGGTCGTCTGGACTGCCCAGATCCCAGTGACTCCCATTGGCTTGTTCAGAGTTCTCAGTCAGCAGACAGGTCTTGGAGACGTCACTCTTTGTGTGTTGATGGGGCTTAAGAGTGTGAACAGCCACCATAGCTTGCCTGCCCATGCACCTTGTACGTGGTGACCCTCTTTCTCTATTCTTTACACGAAGCAGACACTTAATGTAGATCAATATGCAGATATCTAAGATGTTTTGATTCTAAAATGAGACCAATTTTATGGATGTAATTTGCGAGGACTTAGAGCTTGAAAATAGTAATAGTAGCAGCTATCTTAGAGCATTGCCCTTGTCACACATTGCCTGAAGCACTTGCTCTCTCTCTCTCTCCACTCAAACCTTAATTTTATTTAGGGTGCAGGAAGCCTGAAGTAGGTCCAGCTTTGGCTACACTGCAGAGCAGGAAACTCTGTAGCTACAGCCTGAAAAGTTGGTACCAGCCTTGGCCCTGGAATTTCCAGGGCCAGATAGGGAGTTCTGCATAGGAACTGAAGGTACTAAAAAAAGAAAATCTATAACCCATTTCCAAATCATTACTTCTGCCCTGAGTGGTAAGGACAGCTAACAGAGGACCATGCGGCATTTCAGCTTTATAACCATGTGACTGTCTCATGTGAAGGGAAGACAAGAATCCTACAAAGCTTAGCCTTCTAGATCTCTCACTGCTCTGTTAGGTCCTGGAAAAAGCCTCAGAAAACCTGTTGTTGGCTCACACAGACCACTTCTGGTCAGTGTCTTACTCAGTTCATGAGTTACTGAGAGTGCCCACGGATTAGTTAGGTCTGATGAAGAAGCAGCAGTCATACAAATTCATAAGTGTGGAAGAACTCATGTCCGTCCACCATGTGAGAAGAAAGGAAGACTTTATAACTGTCCACAATCTAGAGCATGCCAGCCTCCAAAGTATGATTAAAGTCACTGGGAGGAGACAGTGAGAAAAAGGCTTTCTTTTTTGCAAGAATGATGAGACATCTGCTAAGCTAACGGAGAGATCAGTTCATTAAAATAAAGACTGCTCTGAGAAAGAAGCCACATTGAGAGTTCTGTGGTCTCTGAACCTTACTGGCATGTGGTGTCCCAATCAGTGTGCCAGTTTCCATGTGACAGCCAACCAAAAGCATGATAGTATGGTAAAAGTTTGCGCTGTCCTCTTGAAATGGTGCTTTTTCATACGAAATGTACCCGAGTTGTCACTGACTACTGCAAGTTGCCTGAGGCCTTACCTTCAACACTAGAGTTTTCACCGCCCTCAGAACCCCCACAAAGCTGATGCCTCATGTGTACTTTACCCCAGGACCTGTTTGTTGCCAACAGCTAGCATCCATTCCTGTGTCAGTAGAAATGGACTCTGCGACTTCAGCAGCAGAGCTTACTGTGGACATTCACAGGCTCCAGGAATGGCAGTGCCATCTCAGTCTGTGTATGGCCTCCCTCCACGGTCAGAGCAGTCAGACTCCTGGAACCCTTGCTGCAGTCCCATTAGATGCTGAGACACCTGCAGTTGAATTTTCTGAGTAGAAAAGTTAGTCTCTGAGATGCAGGTTATCTCTGTCACTTGTTAACGTATTCTCTAAGTTTCCAAATGTTGTAATAGTATGTCTTTAATCATTAAGAACTTCTTGAGTATTAGCCTAACAGATACATACTTATCCACAAATTATGTTTCTACATTATAAACCAAAAAGAGCCATTTAAAGAGGATAAAAATATAAACATGGATTTTAAACACACTCACATTGTGTAGGGGCAGTTCTGAATCCTGGCATGTACCTTTGCTTGCTACCTGCTTCTGTGCTGTGCTACCATCCAGGTTGGGTGAAGACTGTCTAACCAGCCTGAGCATAGCAAACATGGCTCTGGCAGGCTGCCTTGCCCTTCTCCCCTATCCCTCTGCCTTGCTAAAAACCGTTAGATTACATTCCTAAAACTAGCCACCAAGGTCTGTTCCCTTATCTGGCCACTTCCTCTTCCTGAAGCTGACCACCAAAGTTCATCTATCAAGGTATTGAAGCCCAGCAATCAACTCCCCACCCCTTGGTTCACCTAATTAACATGCACAGTTAAAATCAGACCTCATTCTAACATGGTTTCCCTTTTACATTAATAAACTGCCATTTGCCTATTAGCCACATCTGTCTCCTCTCTATCCAGAGACAGTACTCTCCTACCCCCCCCCCCAAATATCCGTTTCCTGTGTTCCCTTCCCCTTATCCCTCATCATCTATCTCCTGTCTTTGTCTCTTATTCCCTGTCCTTTATCCCTCTGGGACAAATAGCTCTCCTTTGTGCTGAGAACTTGATCTTGGTGTCTTGAGCCAATAGAGGTCCCTTCACTGGGATGCTGTCTCACATGAACACTGCCCAGCAGTCGTCAACATGCTCTTTCCCCAAAGAGAACAGATTCCCTGGTGGAGCCTGAGGCAAAAGAGGCTTAAATCCCTGAGATAGAAAGAGCAAACGAGCTTGAAAAGTCTGTAAGATAGACCCCCAAGTGTTGATTACCATACTGCTAATTCTGTTGGATGGGTCTTTATCTATTCCAGTGGCCAGGAGCCACCTGAGCAGAGCTGCTCATTGTCTACTATGTACACCAATCTTAGCACTATTCTCTGTGTTCAACCTGGGGCTTAAAGTAAAAAAAAATAATCACACTTTTTTTCTTTTTCCTGTCCTTTGTTCCTAAGTAATACAGTGCAGCAACAGTTCACAGGGCACTTACACTATACTTGGCATTATAATTTAGAAGTGACTTCAAAGTATGTGGAGAGACCTATGCCAGTTACAAAGGAATAATGTCCCATTTTGTACCAGGGACTTGAGCATTTGTGGGGTCTGGCATTGGAGCCCTGGCACCAATCCTGTGGACTCCAGGGATTTTTCAGTTGTCTGGCTCATATGTGATCACAGTATTCTGCACCACTGCCATTAACGTTTGGTTTAACTTGTTTTGATGTGGAATACCACTAATATTTTTCAGTTTAGATGTTAAAGTACTTCACTATACGACTAATCTATTACATAAAAACAAAGGAAAGATACTTATGCATTGGATAAGTGTGTTAGTTTCCTGGCTTGTTGGTCAGACACTAGCTGTATTTTGAGTAACACTATTCCTCATTTATTTCAAGTGAATAAACTCACAAATGCACAAATTACTTTTTATATAATAAAGGGTACAGTTATAGGTGGGTCCTTATATTTCTTTTGTACAATCACAAAGGACAGACAGCAGTGTAGTACACAACCCAAAACTCATACAACTCATCAGAAACCAAGGTAAGCTTTTTACCCCCTTTCTCGTTCAGCATTCAAGAATTTTCTTTTGGTAGCAGGAGCGGCAGAGAGGACAGGCGTGGAAAGGGGCATTGTCTCCCAAGGAGAACTCCTCCAAGGCCAGGAGGCAGGCATGGTGGAACAGGTGTGCACAGGACAGGAGGACTGTCTCTCGGGGACGCTGGCTGCTGGCTCCCACAGCTGCCTGCCGGCAGTCAGCACGGAGAGAGAGTGGAGTCAGGCAGATGGAACACTCATAGATCTCCCGGTGAGCGGCCTGTAGCACAAAGCAGACACGGATTTGTAATCGGAGTTACTCAGACTTACAGTGAGAACTGTATCCCACGATGTGGGGCCTCTAAAAATGGGCAGTACATTGAAAATCTTAAATGTTTAAGATGTGAGATGAGAGATTATAATAAGCATCTTAAAATAAAAATACTTTTAAAATGGTGAGCATTATTAATACAGAATATAAGGTGCCTTTTAATTAAAAGTGGAAAAACATTTGGCTGATAACTGTTAAAATTTTAAAACATTCCCAATTTTATGTTTTAGGATTTTTTTTAAACTCCCAATTTTATGTTTTAAGTTTTCTCTGCATCTTGGCTTTGAGTCACTGAAAAGCCCTGCCTTCCTTCCTTAGGCTATTACAGATATAGGAGGAGGGCAGGAAGCATAGCCTTGCTCTTCTGGGTTTTCATTGTTCATAACACCCACCATCGAACTACAACTTTTAACATTTCAAAATGAAAGACCCTAATGGTCATCACTGAGCTCATGGCAAAGGTCTGGTGTCTCCATCCAAGGCATACCTCACCAAGGCTCCCACCCTTACAGACCTATGTGTGATTGCAGTCCATTCTGCAGAGGCAGCAAGGAAACTGGCCTGAAGCCTACCTGCACTTGGATTTTCTCCCAGTCTTCCTCAGTGAGCTCATGGCCACACCTTTCATCTAACTGCTGAAGAATGCTGCGATTTACAGCCAAGCAGAGGTCGATTTCTGAGAAGAGTTCATCTATGTTGGTGTTGTATGAGCACAGGATTCGGTGGCTGATTTCTGTGAACTGAGAACAGAGGCATAGGCTGGAGCATCTGAATGACAGGGCAGAGTCATTCCTGAAGGAGGAACTTGGCTTCCCCTTCTCTCCAGAAGCTGTTGGTAGGCCCCACTGTAAAGTAACAGGAGTGCCCTTATCTCTGAGGACAGTGGTCCTGAGAAAAACCTAGAACAGACCAGGCCAAGC